CGGTAGGGAACCAGAAGCATCCAAAACTGTCGCAAACCGTTGATGATGAAGATCGAGAGTGGTGAAAGAATCCTGAAGAAAATAAAACGACCGGCAGTTGAAAAGACCAGTGCCGACCGGTCTGAAACCGCCCAACGAAATGCAGTGAAATGAGGGCCCTCGAAAACGGCAGCCAACGCCGAGGGGTAGAATAGGGCAAATGCTACTGCTTGCTGAGCACGGAGCCTGCCCAACAAAAAGAAGCCTGCCCAAATTTTTGGCCACGTCCCTGCTCGCTGAGCACGAAGCCGGGATTGATCCGGCCTCTCGGCCGTAAGATGAGGAGCGTGTCATCCCAGCACAGCTCTCCTCGTTATCATTCCGATGTTGGCCCTCGCCACACTACTCGCGAAACCAAAAGAGAAATGAGCGCATATTCGCACACACGCTGGCCAGGTGCATCCGATACTGTGAGTAGTAACGGATATACCATCTGCCTTCCTCTGGACAGATGCACTCGTGCACTCGTTAGGAGCGTGACGGATGCCCATAATGCGCGGAGGGCAGCATAGGACCGTAGGTGAAATTCATTACCCCTCTTAGAATGGAATGGGCCATGTGTACTCAGTGACTGGCCTCTACAACACCAAAAAAAAAGAAAAAAAAGAATGGGCCATGTAACCTCGAATGGTGAAAAAAAAAAAAAAAAAAAAAAAAAAAAAAAAAAAAACCCTCGAATGGTGCACCCGTGGACCAAGTCCCACTTACGCCAATTCTTCATTTCTGAATGTCGATCTTTCGAATCTACGGTCAGACATTGAGGATTCGGTTAAGTGGGACTTGAACCCGTGAAACTTCTGGTCCGGACGGTTGTTCAAGTCCTTCTGAGGACCTAGTTGCACTACTCGACATCCGCCAACATTGTGAATGCATCGGACAGATTCCCAGTTCATATTCATTCGCATTTTTGGCCTATGGCGCCTACAGTGGTGCACCTAGGCCCTTACTCAAACAAACGACTCTGGGGCCGGTCGGTTCTATCATGATAGGTCAAGGCAGTTACCCCCCCCTTCTCCAAAGGAAAAATGTGTTCGCGGCACGGCTCACCGAGTGTGAGAACAACAAAAGCTACTATGTCGAGTGCATCTTCCCATGTTCTAGGGCAAGGTACGTGCTCTATTTTGCACGCAGCGGTGCCCCAAAGAATGGGCCGTGTCCCAGTAAGATCAGTCAGGAAGTAAAACGTCATTTTAAAATTATTTAAAAAAAACAAACAACCACAGCAAAGTGGGACCGAGTCAAGGGTGCGGGGCGACAAGCAACGACTCAACAGATGGAGGGCCACGCTCCACGGCTCTCCACATGCATGTGCAAAAATGGGAATGAATCTTCGGGTAGAACATGGTCAGGTACAGCGCAATATTATTTTTTTTTGTTTTGTGCGTAGTGGAGCGTAAAGAAAGGAATCAAATCAACGGCCACGGCCAGTGGAAACTACCAGGAGATAAAGGCGGGCAGATGGTTCAAACGGGTGTTTGTCCACGACGACTCGTTGGGAGCGGTTCAGAGAGAAGTTGCAGTTGCAGCCGTGCAGTGCAGAGGCTTCGTCGTCGGGCACAAGCTTGTACATATAGGACAACGGCTTGACTAACGATTCTTCTTCTTCTTCTTCTTTCTTTTTTTGTTTTTTTGTTTTTTTTGTTTTTTTTGTTTTTTTTTTTGTTTGCGACTAACGATTCTGCTTGACATCTCCTGTTGCTGTATTTTCGAACGAGAGCCACGTGGCTTTATCGAGTTCCAGAGAGGTCAACCAAAGGGCCGGCATGTGGTATATGAGACCGTGAAGCGAGATCTGGCGGGAACACGAGTAGTCGTCAGCGTTCGCAGGCGATAGCTTTGGCACGGAAAGAGAACGGAGGAGGAGAGGCGGAGGCCGGCGGCGGCGGCGGCGGCTTCGGGGGAGGGGGGGGAGCTGAGAGCAGAGAGCAGAGAGCAGAGAGCAGACTGGGAAGTGGCAGGTAAGAGGAAGAGGAAGGAATCATCCACGGGTAATATGCGGGTGATTAGCAGGCCTTTTCTCGCTGACAGTCTGACCATTCGCCGAGTGTGGTTCTCTGCCCGGCCGAATTTTGTCCCACGCAGAGAGGTCCTCATCCGTGTCCTCTTCCGTGTAGGTGAATATTTGGTCGCTGCTGCCGGTGAAGATTGCTCGGGCTCGTGGTACAGCGGGTTCGGGGGCTAGGTCCCACTTACACGAATTAAGAGATGTTGACCGTAGATAGCACAGATCAACGGTCAGAATCTCGTAATCCGTGCAAGTGGGACCTTACCCCGGGTTCGGGTTCGATCCGGTAATACGTGTCTTGTATCGACAGGCTTGATCTGTCGACTTGATACGCGTATCTGCGTTGTCTGTGTCGTGTGCCTTTGTGTGTACGCGGGTGACTTTGTTTTCGATTCGATGCGTGTGCGCGTGTGTGTGTGTGTTTGTGTTGGGAGGGCGGGACACTGGTTGTCGGTGTTTCCCAGGAGGCAGAGTCGAAGGCGCTGCACGGGTTCACATTTTCATTTTTCGCGAAAGGCCTCGCTGGGTTTATGGCGGGTTCTCTTGCCGCGCAGCCGTTAGCAGCGTGACGGCAGTTTGTCCGCTGTTGGAATCGCGGGCAACTTTTCAACGATGTATATACGGGGCTGAAAAGGTACTCGAGGGTTTGATTGGTGTGAATGCATCAGCGGGATAGACAGGCTGGCAAATCGCTGTGCGCTGTCCACGTCATCTGTCTGCTGAAGCCACGTCATGGCTGCTGATAGAAGCATCGCGTCGCGTGTTTGGTGAGGTCAGCGGCTGCCAAAGATATCGGCGACATCTCCTGAGCAATGTGATGGCCTAATTGACGTCAACATCAATCCTCGTACAGCTGTCTGGCACGCTGTTTCTTCTCCTTCCCCCCTTCTCTGTTCGTGACTACGAGTGAGCGCTGCTGTGGTTTAGAGCTCGTTCCGAGTGACAATTCAATTGTACACGCTGCCGAGCGAGAGTGCAAGAGAGTGCAAGAGAGAGAGAGAGAGAGAGAGAGAGAGAGAGAGAGAGAGAGAGACGGAGATCTGGCGATCTTGGGAGCAACCTGGCGCGCGCGAGGGAGAGAAGGTTATGTGACCAAACTATTTGGAGTAGCTGGTATGATGAGGCAGCGTGATCCTTAGGGAGAATAGGGAGAACGACCGTCACATGTTCTGCTTGAATCAAGGCGGCGCGGGAGAACGATGGGGATCGCGTTTCTCGAGTTCAATGGGCGGGTGAGGAGGGAAACGAAAACCTTCTTCTCTCGCTGTTCTTCTTGTTGAAGTCAACCGAAGATCCGTTTTTCAGCTTCTAATTGAACGGAGAATGAAGCGAGGCTGTCCTCGGCCTTGGTATAATACGTTTACGAATTTTAATGGTTCCGTGAACAGGCACTTCTGTTTTTGAGGATCATGGAAAGATAGAGTTGTAGATATATATATTTATGGGCAGCATGTTGATTGTGAAAGGGCGCGCGCTTTTAGATTGTTAAAGGTTGGCTGTGCTGCTAGCCTAATTTTGTGCCCCGCAGCTTTTTTTGGGCTTTTCAGTAGATCGTGAGTAAGGGACGGACGCATTGTTTTGATCGGCGCACATCGGTCACGTACATCCTCCTCGTAATTCCGCCCGTCGTCGAGCGCTCTATCTGTATATGTATCTATAAGCACTTTGTCAATCAGCCTAACTCGATTCTCCATCGGTCACCCACAGCGAGGTTTGAGTCTGGCTGATTGACAAAAGTTTTTGGGAAAATCGAGTTCTGAATGAATCTACGCTCTCGGTGCACAGGCTGTAAGTCCGGCATAGAGCAAAGCCACTTTATGTACCTGACAGATTGACAAAGTGTTCCTCGTTCTGCATGCACTAGGGATCCAAACGCACCGATTCTCCCTTTCTCTCTCCCCCATTCCCTCTCTGCCCATTTTTCTCTTCCTCTCTTCCTCAATTGGTGTCGCTGGCTGTCCTGCTCGCTTGTTCTCGCTCTGTCCGCTACAGTTCCCTCGAGGGACAGGCCAGGGTTCCCCAAACAAAGCAGTTGGGAAGGGAAGAGCTTGTCTCGGTGTTTCTTGTCCCGGTGTTTCTTGTCTCGGTGTTTCTTATCCCGGTGTTTCTTGCCCGTTTTCTGCTCCCTTGTTGTGTTTGTTTGTCTTTTCTTGCCCGTTTTCTGGTTTCCTGGTTGTGTTTTGTTTGTCCTTCAACTCGTTTCAAACGTCCCGGTGGCTGCGGCGAGACGGTAACTCGAGTGTCTTTTTCTGGATCTGCAGCCTGACCTTTCCCTCTCTTAGTTTCTCCTAGGCACCCGGAGAGAGAGAGAGAGAGAGAGAGAGAGAGAGAGAGAGAGAGAGAGAGAGAGAGAGATTGGGTGTAGCTGTGGAGGGTGGGGTGGATGCTGTTAGGGTGTAGGGCAAGGGGGGTTGGGCACAAGCAAGGGAAAGTGATTGGTAGTCTATCTACACTAAATTACACTCGATTACTCCCCGTCTGCTAGAGAGATTGCATGATGTCGCCAGTTCCGGCGCCGACGTCGGTTATACCTCAGAGGAGGTGGGCGGCGTGGATTATTTTCATTTTGGTACTTGCTGGATATGGCGCGTACTGTGCGTTCGTGGTGTTGAAAGCCGTAGAGGGTAGACGTCACCCACCTTCTCACACCGTCATGAAAAACGAATCCCAAACTCTCCCAGATGTTTATTTCTGTCTACCGTTTCAGCCAGCCATTTCTTCGGTTCATACGGGGTGTTTTGTGCAGCCATCAGCTGTGATTGGCGCGCCGGCTGACGCAGCAAGGACTGGTACAGTGCAAAACGCATTCCAATGGGGTCCGGCAGCAGCTTTTCAAAATCTTTCCTTTTCAGGAAACTGCACGGTTTCCTATTCTCCATCTCCAGTAGCAGGGAGCGATACGGCTGCAGGCTGTTTCAGGTACCAGACTTACGGCATGATCGGGAAGAGGGGAGGAGGAACGCAACCTGCTGTCGACCTGGTGCTGTCTTTCAACGGGGGAACAACGACTAGTCTTCTTCGGTCCGAGATGTGCCGTGTCTTTCTTGTTTACCAGCCCTTTCTAAGTGTCAACGCCTCCGCTTCCGGCGCCGTCTCCACTGGTGGGGCAACAGGGGGTGGCACGTCGGATTCTTCTACCACTTCCCCCTCCTCGCCAGACTTGCAGCCGTCGAATTCGTCGGCGCCGCCGTCGTCTCAACTTGTTCCAAGCGCTACGCCTTCAGCCCCTGCTACGGAGCCTGAAGCAGCACCTAGCACCCAAGCGCCTGCATCCCGATCCCGACGAAACTCCACACTGAGCGGTGGCAATCGACGGCGGCGGGTGTTGCTCTCACTCGGCGGGCGGAAGGGGAAGAAGGACCAACAGCAGGAGGAAGAGGGGGAGGAGGGGGAGGAAGGGAAGAACGGAGAGGAGGTAGAGATGACGCAAGAACGCGCTGACATCGCTCGATTTCGGCAGAGCGCCGCCGCCTTGCCGATCTCGAGACGAATGGACGGGGATATCTCCCGCTCTCAACGGCTCCTCGAGTCGCCGCCACGTGTCCTCCTGCAAATGCCTAATCCTCCTCCTACGTATGCAACGAATGTCAGCAGCACTTCGCCTATCGCTGATGACCGATCGATTACCGTGCACAGGGTTGAGGACTTGCAAGTCGTTGGTTCTTTCTTTGTACCTTTAAACATGTCTTCCGCGTACAGCATGTCTCTTTCCAAGTACAAAGATCGCAAGAAGAGAGTCACGTTCAGCATCTCGGGCACCCTAAGTTCGGCTCCGCTGAAGACGGGAGTCGATTACTCAGTGAGGCCTCAGGGCCAGTCGAACGCAATAGTTCTGAGCCTCGCGATCGAGGACAAAGGGGTGATATATACGAAGGAGGAGGATCCGCTGCAGGTATTAACGATATTGGGTCTGTGGGGAGGGTTTTGGCAATTCGCTCTCTTGGTGCTAGGTTTGTGCTTCGTGTCGACCGAGCGTCAGGCACCTCATCTTACGGTCCTGGACCCGAAGATGCTGATGGAGGGAATCTGCCCCGCGTGTTTTACAGAATGGATCAGAAGCTTATGTATGAGAAAGAGGGGTAGGTCGAAGTATAATAGCAATCTCTGGGAAGACGATGCGCCGCGATAACTGCAGAATCCAGCCTAAGCATATACGCCTTGCCTGTCGCGCTGCATAATGTCTGGCGGATGGGTCGGGAGAAGGCAGGGAGAGGAAGGGAGAGGCATGAGGGAGGGAGGGAGAGCCATGAAGGGGGGGAGCGAGGGAGGTGGTAGCGAGAAGCAGTCGGATTTAGAAGAGAAAGAAGAAGAGCTGAGAGGGAGGTGGTGGAAGGGAGAGGATAGTAGAGAGAAACGGAGA